ATTGTGTCATATCAAATAAGTTCGGCTAATGACTCTCCAACATACAAGAGAGCGGTGGGTGAGATTAGACACCTAATGGCGGTCATTTTATAAGTCACTTACTTAAACTTTCCTTATAGTATGACTTCGTAAATAAGGTGTACTAGCGGTTGGACTTACTGATTCTTATGCAGATTGTAATTAATCTTTATATATATATATATATATATATATATATATATATATATATATATATATTGTTGAATTAAGTATCTAAACCCATAAATATAATTGGTATAAAGTTGATTTAATAGTAGCAAAGTCCTTTTGGGTTTCCCTCTAACCTAGCAATTGGATGGGATGATCTTTGGAGAGAGAGTTTGATTTATTATTTGATTAATAAATTAAAATAAATAATTTATTAATATATTATAAGAATAATATATTAATTAAAAATAATAATATTTAATCATAAATTAAATGGAATTAAAGGAATTAATTAAAAGTACAGGGTCTAAAGTGAAATTATTTAATAGTTAAACAAAAGGCTCTAGAACCTTCTTGGTAAAGACATTGACGTTTTAAGGGATATTCTAGGGTTTCTAAAATATCCCATGTAGATAATAAGGAAGTGAATAATCACCAAATTTGAAATAATATTATTTAATTCAAATTACGGTTATTCCTTGTACCATTATAGAAAGGACCGTAAGGATCCCATTTTCGTCCCAACTCTTCGCTTGCTAAGGCGTAAATGAAATTCGTCTCCCATCTCCTCTCTCCATAATCATCCTCTTGCTAGTTTGGGTGTGATCCTATTAGAGGCACAAAAATTATGGTGCTTTCTGTAAAGAGATCAACATGAAGGTATTCTTTGTTATTTTCTATATAACAATCAAGGTATGTAATCTTTAACCCTAATTTGGTATTTTCGAAAATAGCCTAGTGTTTTAGGGTTTCTTTTTGATGTTCATAGTTATAGGTTCAATAGTGAAAACATAGATCTTTCTTTGGGTTGCATGCACACTTAAGAGTTTAAGTTTGTTTGTTTTGCATAAAACCCATCAATATATATATATATATATATATATATATATATATATATATATATATATATATATATATATATATATATATAAGGGTGTGTTTTAAAACATTTCAAAATACAAGGTTTAATCATTTATAAATTAAACATTATAATTTAATTAAATCTAATCCAATTTATGGATTTATTAATTATCTTTTAATTAATCATTTAATTAAATTAATAATAAAAATCCATAATGACAAAATTAATTAATCTTATAACTAATCATTATCTAGTTTAAGAATATATCCTAACATTTAGGTTTTTATTTAATTATCTTTTAATTAACAATTAATTAATTATAATCATAAGGATAATTCACAAACACAAGATATGGGATATCAAATTACCAAGTTGAATATTTAGATTTTAATCAACTCAAATAATATTAACTAGAGTAATTATCCTAATCAAATGTGAATTAAGCAAACAAATTCACTAAAAAACAGGTTCACCACGTCGTGGAAGAACGAAGAAAAACATATATCCGTAGATCTCCACGTCGTGGCGGAAGAACACCACCATGTGGTGCTGTAATGGAATGATGATTTTGTCTTTCCACCAAGTAGGGTTTGTTCAAGTTCAAGCAATATACATTTAATTATTAGACAACCATATAATCTAATACCACTGATGAGTTTTACATGCAGTAATACCAATAAATCATTATACACTTAAGGGTACATGCAACCTATTAGATCTATGTCTTAACATTATTGAAGTAACACTCTATTGAACAACAAGAATCCTATAAACATCAGCTATTTTCGAAATTCGTAAACAAGTTGTGGTTTACATACATTTTAGTTATTGTAGTAAATAACTAATCAATCATTCTTCAAAACTCTTGGAAGCTAGCACCAAAAATCTTGTACCTCTAATGGTTCACACCTAAACCCTAACAACTAAGGAAAAATTTTAGGAAAGAGAAGGAGAAGGAGTATTTTCAAATTTGAGGCTCAAGCAATCATTGATTCGAAAATCTAAACCCTTGGGAGCTTTATATAAGTGTTAGGAAGGTAGTGGACAAGGCAGGTTCCTTTTGGATAACCCTAATCATCTTGCTTCCTTCCCAAGGCATCTAGGCTTCCTTAGAGCCAAAGAATACATCTAATAACCTTATAGAATTCGTCCCCCTCTATGATAGGTTCTAGAATTTGTCAATGTTGAAAATTTTAACATTGTCACCTTTAGCCCTCCTACTTTTGACTAATCCAATTAATCCCAAAATTAATTCTAATTAATTTCTGATTAATTCTTGATTAAATAATACCATTTCTAATTAATATATTATTCTCATAATATATTACAAAATTATTTATTGCTATTTATTAATCATATAATAAATCAATAAATCAGTCTATCTCTTTCTTTCTTTCTTTCTCTCTCTCTCTCTCCCTATATATATATATATATATATATATATATATATATATATATATATATATATATATAAGTCATCCTATTCAATTACTAGGTTTGAACTCAACCCAAGAGGAATTTGTTAATAATTTAAGTATATATCAATTTAATTATTGTCTTAGACACCTAATCCAACAGTTTTGCACTTTCCTACATCTCTAGATGGTATAAAGTTCATGCCTTGAGGATTATTTGATTAGATGTAGCTTGTATGATGTTATTATGTGCTTTTGTCCCCAATCAATGATGTTCTTGAGTATGTCATGCTCTAGACCCAAATGGATTGTCCTTCCTGACGTTTCAGAGTGTCTAAGGTCATAGAAATGCAATCTTGATTGTTGGTTTTCTTCCATGCATGAGTTACAATGTCTTAATGAGTTAAGAAGCTAGGGTTTTATTATTGAGCACTTAATGGCCATGCAATATCATAAAGTTGGAAACCTTATGGTTAAGGAAATGAGTTCAGGGCTAGATCTGAAAATTAAACAAAAGAGCTTAAGGAAATAAGCACTTAATAGAAGGATTTAGTGAAGGCAGCATACGCTAGACGTACAAACTAGTACGCTAGGCGTACCGGGTCTACATCGCGTTTTCTGGTCAACTCGTGTACACTAAGTGTACAAGCTGAGTACATTAGGCGTACTTAGTTGTGTTGCCTAGGTTTGACTTTTTGGACTTTTTGACTTTGACCAAGTTTGATCTAAGGGTATTTTGGGTATATTGAGTTGTATTTGAGATTGGTCACTATTCGATGAATAGGTGACGGGTAGAGCTGATACTTGGAGTAGAAACCTGTTCAGCTTTTTGATCGAACTAAGAGGTGAGTTTTCATCATTGTACTTATGGGTCGAAGGCACCAAGGTCAGTCCATTATATTAGATATCCTATTTTCTTGTGTGTTGTTATGCTAAGATATGTATTCGTTGGTTATGTGATTAGATTGGTAGATCTGTAGGACTACCTGTGCTTGTTGATTATTGATTGATATTGTATATGTTAAAATGTTAGGGTTTGATGGGTTGAAGGACCAGTCGGTGCTGAAGGCCAAGACACCTAGGGCAGCCCGTATAGACTGAAAGCCTGTGAAGCAGTCCAGTCATGCTGAAGGCTCTGAGAGCGGTCCATATAGTCTGTAGTCCAATCATGTTAGAGGCTTGTGTGTGCATATTGTTGTTTTGTATGGTTGTTTGTGGTACTTTTGGGGAACTCACTAAGCATTTGCTTATAGTTTTAGTTTGTTGTTTCAGGTACTATAGAGGATCGGGGGAAAACATAGGTGTGATCATACACATCCTTCAGATTTTATGTTATTGGATTTTGGGATACTCTGATTTACGACTTATACTTTTGAAACAATGTTTTGTAAAAAAAATTATGGTGTTTGGGTTGTTTTTTGAAAAATGAAAGTTTAACTTTGATTTTTGGGATGTTACAACTGAACCGGAATCAGTTCCCGTATACATGTCTGGTTCTTGGTTCTCATAAATCGTAAATTCCTGGTTTTGGGTTTTCCGGTTCCGGATAAACAGTCTGAAACCCACTTTCATCACTACTTTGTACTATATAGTATAGATCATCTGTATGTTAGGATGTTGGTATGTTGTGGTGAACTATTAGACATGTGGATTTGTTAATAACTGTCTGTGACGGCTTGTTTGGTTATCGTTTGATATTTGTATATGTCGACATATTGTGAGTGGTTGAGGGTGATCCAACTGTGTGCTGAAAGGCTAAGATACCTAGGCAGTCCAGTTTCTATTGTAGTCCCAAAAAGGGGCGGTCCAGTTCATACTATAGGCCTAAAAGGAGCGGTCTAACTCAATGTTATAGACTAAGGAGGTGGACTAGCCATGTGCTAAAGGCCATGATGTGCATGTATAGTATGTGTATTGTTGTGTGAAGTATTTTTGAAAAATACCTAAGTTTTATCTTACAATTGTGGATTAAATGTTTTTCAGGTATTTTATTAGTTTGTGGAATAACGAATACGTGACTGTACACATTCATCAGCAGTTTAATGATTTGAGATTTCGCAATATTTTTTCCTTATAACTTTGATTTTGAACTACGGTTTACTAACAAGGGTTTTGCCATAAACATATCTTTATAAAAATATGTATTTATTCTACTTTATATATATATATATATATATATATATATATATATATATATATATATATATATATATATATATATATATATATATATATTCTAAAAATTGAACATTACATTTTGACTTATTTTGTTAAAAATAAAAAATAGTTTCAAAAGTTTGTAAAAAGGCCAATGGAATTGTAGTCATGTGGATAACCAATACTAAGCACGTAATTAGAGTTTTTTGCACAAGCATGGAGTGGGATTGCGAAAAAGAGCAATACAAAGGTATTTAAATTGACGAAAAAAAAAAACATGAAGATTTTTTATGTAAATATATCACGCATCAAGAAAATTATTGATAATATCCTCAAAAAGGACTAACTTCTTAGCGTTCTTCACCAAAAGTCAAACTATATCAAGATTTTGTGACTACTGATCTGTAATTTGTCATCGAAGAGCTTTCAAGAGGCGTCTGCTTATCATCAAGAGGAAAGAAGAAAGGATAGAGTTCATATCTAACATAACAACTACTATATATAACTCTACACCCCTTCTTGTTTTCACAAAACGTCGGAAAGTTCCCGACAGCAATCGCTAAACACTGCCTACACGAAAGCTCCGGCAAGTCTCTGGTGCACTGAACCAATGCATAAAGTGTCAAAAATGGCGACAACTTCGTCTCTCCTTTCCCCAGCCCTTTACTCCCCGACACAGCTGCTACTGTATTGATCTGATACATGAGCGACCCGAGTCCCTTGTTAAAGGTTTTCGGGTCGGTTACGTTTTCAACATTATAGTAAAAAACCCCGTAACCCGTATCAAGTTCCCCGATGAAGTTTTGAGTGTTGTACCTTAAGAAACAGTATTCGTACCATATTCTAGCGTCGACTTTCTTTGGACAAAAGCTTCGGATTTCTTTTGCTGCTTCTTGGATGCAGGAAGAGCAGTCTTGGGTGCTGACGTCACCTCGGCATTGAGCTAGACCGAAGACTTGGGTTTCACCATGGCCGAATGAGGTTGCACTGTAGCCGAATTGGGAGGTGGCTTGGACTAGTTTGGGGAGAATGGAGTCGATGTTTTTGGTGATTTGAGGTGTCGTGGAATTTGAGTTGTCGTTACAGAGCTGTGCAGAAGGGTCTGCTGATTCTACGGAGAGAACGAAGAGGATGAAGATGAGGAGATAGTGGTTGAAAAACGCCATTTTTAGAGGGATTTGAGAACATGAATCGTTTTGGTTCTTCATAGTTCATATATATACTTCTCGAATCATTAATTCGTTTGTTTGGTTCTTGGATCGATATAAATATTATATATGTAAATTATCTAAAGAGACTATGACTTTTAGTATGGTATATTATATATACATTAATACATATATACACACAACATCGGAAAAAACAAAAAGAAAAAAAAAATGTTGAAATGGTGATCAAAATAATTCAAATGATTATTGGGTTTTGACTATTACTTTTTTACGTAAAATATGATAATGTGGGGTTATGGATTTACAAAGTTTGAAATCTATATGTTTAGAATAAGGTTATAGATTAAAGTTTTAAATGTAAAATTTGCAGTTAATTTCTTTCATTTTTGTATTCAACTTATCCTAAAAAGATTTAAAATATTGTAGAAAAGGTTTATGATTTTTTTTTCAACTAAAATACAAACCAAAATAAGACAATTCTCATACAATTATAATTTACATGCATTTGACATAGGCTAAATGGTACAAAAAACATTCTTTTTTACACAGAAATTCGATTTTGACACCATGTTTTTTTTTTTTGTCAATTTTGATACTGTGTTTTCCAGTTTGTTACAATTCTGATCACTTGACCGGTTAACCAGGTTGAATGTTGATGTGATATGATGACGTGTCAGTTTTAATGATGTGGCATGCTGGCATGATGTGCTGACGTGTCAAAATTGAATTTTTTTCTCACAAAAAACACTAAGTTTTCATTTTCTTTCAACTTTGACACTATGTTTTTTTTCCAAATCGAACATCATTTTTTCCAATTTTGTTCAATGTTGACAATTTTCTATTTGAAGCCGTATAAATATTTTTTTAATACATTTAAACCATATAAATATGTTTTTTTTTTTCATTTAAAAACCATAGTTTTGTATAAACATATTTTTTTACACTCAAACCATATTTTTATGTATAAATATGTATTAGTTATATAAAAATTGTATTTTATATTAAATATGCAACTTTAAAATGTGTTTGGAGGTTTGGAGACGTGTAGTTGATCAAAACTCGGATATCATGTTTGCAACACATCAAATTTTTACATCTTATTAGAAGTTTATGGTTAGTTTGATTCTCATGATATAACTAATGCTTTAAATGTAAGAAAAAAAACACCTTGTATTTAAATAAAAATGTGGTTTTTAAAAGAAAAAAATATGTTCATACGGTTTAAAATGTAATAGAAAAAAATATTTTTATATGGTATCAAATGGAAAAAGATAAAATTGAACAAAATTTGATAAATGATGTTCGATTGGAACAAAAAAAAAACATAGTATCAAAATTGAAATAAAAAATTAAACTTAGTGTCAAAATCGAAAAAAAAATGAAAACTTGATGTTTTTTGTGGGAAAAAATCAATTTTGACACGTCAGCATATCATGTCAGCATGTCACGTCATCATGCCACGTCAGCATGTAACCTGGTTAACCGGTCAAGTTGTCAGAATTGTAACAAATTGGAAAACACAGTGTCAAAATTTACAAAAAAAAAAAACACGATGTCAACATCGAATTTTTGTATAAAAAGAATGTTTTTTTTTTGTGTCATTTACCCTTTGACATAATTGATCTATTTTGCATGTCAAAAAGTATCGTGATATAATACCAAAAGTTTATTAAAAATTTTATATAGCTGTGACATCAACACCACATAAAATAACACGTAGATCTACAATTTGAAGTTTGAACCACATTGAAAAAATCGTATGGCTCCCAATTTGAAGTTTGAACCACTTACTACAAAATCATTAAAAAAATCTCTATTTTCTTACCCAACTCAGCCACTCCCAATGGTGAACATTCAGCGTAGACCATAGAGAATTAGAAATTGGCTACAGGGACTAATGTGGAATTTGATAAACAGTTGAAAAGATGGTTGTACATGATGCATGGCAGATTGTTCTTCTATTGAAGTGGATTCTTCGATAAGCCATTATGTAGCCGATATTTTTGAAGCATTTTGTCATTGACTTAGTCGGTCAACCATTATTTGGACCCATGACTTTTTTGTAAATAAAAAACAGAATAAGAATTAGTTTCAAAAGTTTGTAAATATTTTTGGTGCATTTTGTTATTGACTTGGTCAGTCGACAGTTATAAGTTCTCAAACCGATTTTAATGCTTACGTTGTTTATAGTATTGGTTTCAAGAAAAAAATAAACAATGTCGTATTTATAATATATTTTATGATACACATTATTTATATATCTTAGGTCATTAAAATTATGAATAGTTGGTTTTTTATTTGATTTTTGGGTTACCCTGATCATGTTATAGATCGGGTTGAGATGAGAGACGGTGGAAAACAGTACATAGAAGTTTGTATACAAAATTAATTAACTAACTTTATAGACATAATATTGTGGTCATTTTAACTTGAAGTAACATAGATGAAACAAAATATTGAAAATATAAGGATTACATATGTATGAAAAGAACAATAATTTAACTAAGATGAGTATATAAAATTACATCTGATAAGTTAATCAATCATGTAGTACATATATGTCTTATAATCGAATTTACATGTACAAAAGATGATCTATCTCAAAAGAGACATGGGCGGCACACTCTTCTATGTTAAATAATGATATGCTCATATGCATATTTACAAGATTATGATAACATGCATCGACGATAACTTTTCAGTGTTAGAATGTACTGAAATTTGCATGGTCAGATATTTTTTCTATTTTCCAGTATTATTTGATTTTTTGTAGATTGCGATAAACTTTGCTTAAGATATATTTTCTTAATCAATAGGTCATTCTTTGTATTCTTGATTTTTATGACTTTTTGGGTTTGTCGATCTTGCATCGAATAACATGTAGCGTAAAAACTAACATAAGATGGAGCGTTCATAGCATATGATATCGCTAATAAAGGCTGAGTTGTTTAGCCAAATGAAATATAATTTTGTTTGTCAAATTTTTTTTAACTTAATTTATTGTGTTTCGTAAAGTATGATATTTATGTATTTTGAAATATATGAATGAAAAAAGAAAACTTCTGTTTAATAAATGACTAAATGAGGCTTCTAGAAGACGGCATTGGCGAATAGCAAGTCAAAGGGAATACACATTAGATAGCCAACCACATGAAGGCTTCAGCATAGAAGTATCTAATTCGAACGAGATTGTCAAAGTGGATTTAACGGATGTCTATGATTGTAGGATCCATCTTTTAAGGGCCCAAAATTTGTATGAGATATGTATTAGAATTAGTTTAATTCACTAGATTTTTAAAGGAAAATCATCCAAGGATGGAAGATGGATTTCACTAAACACTCAACGTCTAAAATCATGATCTTGATGGTTATAATTTGAAGATTTTAGGTTAAAATAGTTGAAATTTGAATTGATATCAAAGTTTCCATTTATTTTTTTCGATCAGAATTTTTGTTTTAGTCAGATATGTTTTTAGGATGATTATTGGTTTTAGTAATGCTTTTTACTTTTTTACATCTCAACTTTGATTAACATGTCATTTAGGAATTCGATATAATTTTTGTTTGTTCTACGCCAACAAAAATCCTCCTTTCATTTCGATGATTAGGTCATGCAATCTACACATATGAGAATCATCTATGTTCCTATGTAATTCGTATAATGGACAATGGTTTTACTAATTGAGTATTGATTATTCTAGTAATTGGTTTTAGGTTTTATTATTTGCTCAACCACGTTTAGAGGTTTCTTTATTTTAAGCCATGACTATCAATCACAATTAAAGAAAAAAAATTAAAACATTGTGCCCACAATATTATGTACTTTGGTTTTTTTATTTGTTTTTATTTGTGGTTAAGTCATTAAATGATTTGTCACAAGTATTCAACTTGTCGTATTTTAACAACTAAGACAATTAATGACAAATAGTAATAGAATGTTTTTGATTTGATGTGGATTTTTCGACAGTCAGTAATACAATGGCAAGAGTCTTGGGATGTTTGGAAGGAGCTTTCTCATTTACCTATCTGGGGGTTCCAATTGGTGCAAACATGTCTTAAAAGAAAAACTAGCAGCCTATAATTGATAAATTCAAGTTCAAATTATCTATCTGGAAGACCAATGCTCTTTCATTTGGGGGAAGCCTCACCTTAATAAAATCGGTCATAAATAGTCTTCCTACGTATTATATGTATTTGTTCAAAGTACCATAGGGAATTATTGACATCCTTGAAAAAATAGGCGCAAATTTTTATGGGGTGGAAATCAAGATAAAAGCAAGATCCAGTGGGTGGATTGGTCCAAGGTTGTTGCAGGAAAAAAAGGATGGTGGTCTTGGAGTCGGTTCTATTAAGGCGCAAAACCTAGCTCTACTCACTAAATGGTGGTGGAGGCTACAAAATGACGGAGATCAATTATGGAGGAGGGCAATCATTAGCATCCACAATCTAAAAAGGAAACCAGCCATGTACATCGCAAGGAAAACATCAACTGGAGTTTGGCGCAATATATACAAGGCAATTCGCCACATTGAAGAGATAAATATGGATTTGAATACGATATTTAGATTGATTCCTGGTGGCGCATCGAATATTCTTTTTTGGAAGGATATCTGGTGCGGAAACTCCCCTTTACAAGAGCGATTCCCAGCTCTTTACAATAGGGAAAAGATTAAATGTTGCAGGTTGGAAGATCGGATGCCGTCCAATGGTTTCACTTGGGATTGGATACAAGCCCCAAAGGATGGGATAACTCTATACGAGTTATGGCAACTATAATTATGTATTGGCTCGATGGACATTCCCCCACAATCCCCTTTCGGTTTTAGATTCATGTTAAATATGGATGGTCGTTATACTGTCATCACGATGAGGAGATTCATAGATGCGAAAATTCATCCATATCGGGGTCCCTTAATCTCCTGGGACAAAATGGTGCCATTAAAAATAAGGTGCTTCATTTAGCGAGCTATGCTGTATCGAATGCATGTTGCCACATCACTGGTTGAAAGAGGCATATCAGTATCTAATCATCTGTGCAA